CCGCCCGCCACCCCCTGTCCTCCCCGTGGTCTAACTCGAGGCCCCGTTACTGCACCGTCCGGGGAGTGGCCCGGTCTCCGCGCTCTGCCTCTGTTGCTCTGTGCGGGTCGCGGTCTGTTCTCCAGCTTCGGAGCTCCCCGAGCACAGAGACGAGTCTGATGCCCTGGCCTGCCTCCGCCCAGCGCAGGGCCGGGCACGCCCCAAGCACCCAACAGTCGGCGTTCGAGGAACGAACCCGGTTCTGCTCCGACTCCTTTTAAGTCCCTCCGGGCCTTTCCCAGCTCCTATCCTTTTGTATCACTTGCTGCTTCCCTGCCCACCCTCACCTCTCTCACCCTAGTCCCTGTCCTCCCTCTTTCGTGGTCTCTGCGCAGAGCCTCTCTGAGTCTCTGATCCCTTTCTCTGTGGTTCTCTTCCCGCACCCCCTCCCTGGGAATTCTGGGCGTCCCACGTACCTGAAGACCCCGGTGGGGGGCAGGGCGACGCCCGAGGCCGTGCGCACGCCCCAGGGGACCAGCAGCAGGAGCAGCAGCAGGAGCCGCGCCCGGGAGCTCCGGGGTACCTGGCGGGTCTCCATCACCTGCGGAGAGACAGGGAAGGGCTCCGTGAGGCCGGTGGCCTGGCCCCGCGCCCCAGAGTTTACCCACCCCCAGCAGCCAGATCCCAGGGCCCCTACCGCGCAGTGGACTGGGCCCTAACTCCCTTCCCCGCTCGAGAGACAATGTGCTTTTTCCCCATTGATTTCTAAAGAGAGTGGAAGGAGAGGGGGAGGGAGAGAGGAACATAGATGTGAGACATATCGATTGGTTGCCTCCTGCAGGTGCCCCAACTGGGGCCGGGGAACCCGCAGCGGAGGTATGTGCCCTTGACCAGGAATCTAACCCACAACCCTTGGGTCTGCAGGTCGACACCCTAACCACTGAGCAACCGGTCAGGACTGGAGACAATGTACTTTAGCTCTGTCCCTTTAAGATCCCAAGCTTGTCGCTAGGCTCCCAGGATCCCCAGGGAGGGGGTCAGGTGCGTCACCTGCGCCCTGGGACCCTATCTCCTGCTGCCCCGCCCAGAGCCATTCTGCAGCATTCACTGGTCTCTGCGCCCAGCTCCGCTCACCTGCTGGTATCTCGGACCCCCCTGAACAGGTAGGAGACCCAGGGCCCGAGTGACCCTGTCGCATCCAGGTGTCCTCCAAGCCTACCTACACCTGACCACAGACCAGCCCCTGAGACCCTGAAATCTAAGCTCCGTCCTCAGTAAACAGAGACCTGAGTCCCCCACAACTCTCTCCTCCTGCAGGCTGAGGAGTTCAAACCCCTACACCCCTATCTCTGCAAGACCCGAGACTCAGAGTTCCTCACCTCCTTCTCACTCAGGATCCAGGAGTTCAAGACTCCCATGTCCTTCTCCCCGATAACCCAGCCCCCCAAGCCTGGTTCCCTCAAAACCCTCAGCATCCGAACCTGCAGGCTTCTCTCTAAAGAAGCAGGAATTTGACCCACAGGGCCGCCACCCTCTGGGAATTGGGAGTCTGAACCCCCAGCAGCCTTCTTGCCCAGGACCCAAGAGTCTCCCTCCTCCCCCAGATCCAGGGGCTCAGCCCCCAGCCCCAGTCCTTCCTCCTGAGCCTCCTGGTGTCT